CCCCAAAACCCCAAAACCCCAAAACCCCAAGTAATTATTATATTAAAATAAAGAGGAAAAAATAATTGATCATAAATAGATAAAAAGCAAAAATGAATGACAAATAAATGCTTTAGTAAAAGATAAACACTTAAATGCTATCAATCTTTACTTACTCCTTATTTTCCTGATTTTCTCTCAAATATTAGTCAATCTCTTTTGGTTTCCTCAAATTTCTACAACTTATTTTCAAGTTCTTTTGATTGGTCTTCATACTTTTTGAATTTTTACACAATATCAGGTTTTAATTCCTTAAGACATTCGAACAGAATATCTATTTAACCTTGTTAGTATTTGATTTTCTTTTCTGCTCCTTCTTTTTATGCTCTCATAATAAAGAGTAGCAATTGATTGAACTGTGTTTTTTCCATTTCAAGAGGTTCTAAATCGAAATTAGTGGAGAAAACAGGTTTGTAGCATTTCCATAAGTATTGGGTACCAAGATTTAAGTAAGGTGAAAACTCTAAAAATGATTCATACTACTAGTTAAAGTCATCCTAATGACCTAGAATCTCTTAAACATTTAACTAGTCATAAAGCTTCTATGTTTCATTTGCAGTATCTTAAACCGATTAGCTCAAATCTAATACATTATCTATGATTTCTTGAACACCCAATACCTCTAACTTGAAATCTTTTCCCATTTTCTGTTTTTATGCTTCACAAAAGTCTATTAATTCATTGAATTTCTTCTTAAATTCTTGGAGAGAAGTAACTAAAGTCGTGACATCATTATCTAAAGTCTAGGTGTCCTCATAGATTTTTCTACAAATATCAATGATAGGCTGATTTTAATGGTCATGTATGTACTCATTTTTTATTTTCATAGCTGCACATTTTTCACAGTAAAGCTTATTTTTTTTGGAGCACTTGCTTGAAATGCAAAAATATATTAATTTGGCATTATCATGACCAGTTTCAGTGCAAAATTTAAGCTTTTTAATATCTGCATCTGATATACCTCTTGCTTAAACGGAGAGATAATTTGAGTCCATTTCTACTAAAATGATTTTTATTATAATTCTAGAATAAATTATTTGCTATCCAACAAATTTTAAGGAATTCACACTAGCGGGGTTTTGGGGTTTTGGGGTTTTGGGGTTTTGGGG